TGAATGGTGACACGGGTGTTTGTTCAGGACATATATGGTCCATAAGCAGGCCTTTAGTAAATAACGACACAAGTGGTAGATAAAGACCACAGTGGCAAAATATCTGCATCTGCGACGGTTATCGAATTTCTTATGAACAGCATCATCTATGATCGATAACGACATCTGTGATAGAAGGTGGTTTTTTTGCAGATATCCCCATCGGCGATAGGCAGCGATATCTAGGAGGGTTTGCGAGATCTATGTCCTACAGCACAGTCTATTGTGAGTAGATGCACCAATGGAAATTGATGATGTCTATGGTATATAACGTCAGGCATGTCGAATAGTTATATTCTGAATCAGTATTAGCATCTAATGTAGTTACCGCTGTCTAAGTTAAGTTGCGACACCTATGTTTGGTAGCGACATACATGAACGATAGTGGTATCCATATCAGGCGGCGGGATCTCTGTTACATATTAACATGTATGATGAGTAGTGACATATGTGTTAGGGAACGACATGTTTAGCGGACATCAAGATCTGTGAGAATTTTTAAGATCTGTGTGATTTGACGGCTTCTTTAGCATATGGCTAGATTAATAACGTCAATCCCTAATTCTAATTACGGGCGTTTGTAATGAGTGCAAGATTTCAACTAGTTACATGAAACGCTTGACTATTTACTAGGGATTTGTAGGTGTCATGCTTAGGATATATAAGCTACATGAAGATTGTTCTCAGCTACACAGGGACACCTTTAAGAAAAATTCTCTTATGAATTAGCGGTATTCTTCTGATAATTACGATTGAGTTTAAAATGATATTACCAATTGCAATCAGCTGTGCTGGGCACTCTTATGGTGTTAAAGTTACTGATAAGACCGGTGAAACAACAGGAATATCCAGCAAAAAGAAAGCAAATGATTTTCAGCTTTATGGAGTACGAAAGACAAACTAAATCGCTCCCAATATGTAATGTTTTTGTGATAAGAATAGGATAATCTCAATACTCCAATTTCCTGGCACAAGCTAAGTCATACCAGGCTAATTGAATTTACTAACATACCTTCTTATCCTTGTAGAATAAAAGAATGAACAAAAATGAAATAAATGAAATAAAACAAAAAGTTTTATTTCATTTATTTCATTTTTGTTCAATTTTTTATTCTACAAACACACAACTATAACTTTTTTAGAACACACACAACTGTTTCTTCAATAGCTATCACACGTTTCATTATCATCCGAATACTGTTGTCTTATTCCATTTGTATATCATCTTGTTCATCATCACTACTAAGCACTATAACATCACTATCATCGTCGACATGCATTATTGGCTCATCATTGCTATCATCAACTATCATAATGCTATCATCATCATCTGATGCTTCATTAGCATCAGGTTGACTGTAATACTAGAATCAATGTAATCATAATCTAGAATAGAGGAAGATATGCGTGTCGAACGATAAATTATTTTTTTTTTATTTCCATGATGGGGTTCGAACCCATCACGTTCCGATTAATAGGCTAATATAACAACCATTAGACTACTTCTCGGACAAGACAGATGAATTAAAATTTGATGTCATTCTTGACATATCGAAAGACTGAAAGCGAAAAAATCAATATGTTTCACTAAAAAAACAGGTATTTTGCTTAATAATTTTAATATTTATACTAGCTTTTTATTCTTAAAAATTGTAAAACTTTTTTTCAGATTTTTTTCATTTTTTTTCGAATTTTTAAAAAAAAATGTACACCAAAAAAATTAATAAAAATGTTGATTCCATCGGCAGTATACGTGTTAAAGTATTTTATTGATCTGCACTGCATCCATCCAACAGTGCCATCTATTGTTATTTTCTTGTGATTGGTTATCACACCAGCCGCTAATTTTTTCTACGGCCGCTAATAGTTCACAGCCTGGATATTTTTTTTTCGTTCTGTCGCTAATGATCTAGGGTTTGGATGTTTTTTCGACCTTTCCCTGACAATCTAGGATCTGGATGTTTTTTCGACCTTTCCCTAACAATCTAGGATCTGGATGTTTTTTCGACCTTTCCCTGACAATCTAGGGTCTGGATGTTTTTTCGGCCTTTCCCGGACAATCTAGGGTCTGGATGTTTTTCCTCCCTTTCGCTATCGGTGTAGACCCTGGATGTTTTTTTAGTACCTTCGCTATCGGTCTAGAGCCTGGATGTTTTTCGTCCTTTTGCTATGGGAGTAGAGCCTGGATGTTTTTCCATTCTTTCGCTAACGTCTTCAAAAAATTCTTTGATTTTCTGAGCAGATGTATATGTCCGTAACAGGTGCAGATGTCGCTAGTAGCTGTAGATGTCGGAAGCAGGTGCAG